AGATTAAACTGACACATCTTTAGACAAAGAAAATTTATCAAAATATGAAAAAAATCAGAAATCTCCGAATAACTCTGTAACTATTAAAGAAATTGGATCCATCATTAAAAATCTTTCCACAAGGAAAACTCCAGGACTAGGTGTTATTGTCAGTGAATTCTACCAAAAATTAATACTACATTTATTAATATTACATTTATCATAGTGAATATATGATGCTAATTTATAGAAACTTTTCCAGAGATATTAAAAGAGGGAAGAACTCCAAATTGGCCAGCATAATCTTGATTCTGAAACCCATTTTACTCATGAACACTGATGTAAAAATCCTAAATAAAATATCAGCAAATCTGATTAAGCAATGTATAAAAATAATAACACACCTTGACCAAATTGGGTTTTCTTCAGCCATGCACGTTTGATTGTATATTTCAAAACCAGAGAATGTAATTCACCACATTAACAGAATGTCAACCCATAGTCTTTGGTGCCACTTCAAATGCCAACAGGAATCCCCAATCTGGGGTGCAGGCAAGAAGGAAACTTTATTTTGCACAAACAGCTCAACGGTAATACATGGCTGTGAAAACAACACTGCTGTGGAACAGCTCCATGGTGCTACAGCATGGCCGTGAGAAAAGAGGAAGGCTGTGAGGCGGCCCTGCGGCCAGGCCCCTCTCTAGCTAGGCAGCTCCATGACGGCCACTCTGCTCTGCCTAGCTTCACATACCACATGATCTCTTCTGCTCTGCCACTGTCTGCTCTGGGAAATACAATCTTCTGTCTCCCTGTTAAGTGCACTCTTGGAGCCAAAGTGGGGCTGGCTTATATAGATAGAATTCCCATCCCTTGGTCCCTGATTGGTCAGAATAGAGTCACTCTGATTGGCCAGAGTTGTGCAGACCCAATTGAATGGGGAAAGCCATCAGTTTTATTGGTTGAAATAGGACTCCAGGAACTCTTTTAAAAGGGCTGGCTCAGATGGTAGAAACAGTGCAGGCAGGCTAACTAGCACAGAAGTTTCCTGGTAGTGCAGTTTGCATGAGGCCCCAGTGCAGAAATGGCTGCGAGGCTTTATTTTATTATTATTATTTTTTATTTGAGCTCAGTTAGCCACCAGGAATCCTTCTTAATAGGTGTGTTTTTTTTCCCAGGGTTCACAATAATAATAATAATAATAATATATATGATCATTAATAGATTCAGGAAAAACACTTGATAAAATTCAACATCATTTGTGATTGAAATCTGTAGCAACAACTAGGAATAGAAAACATTTTTTTTTTTATGGTAAAGAACAGTTACAAAAAGAAACTATAGAAAAATCTTATTAATAGTGAAATGTCAAAGGCTTTCCCTCTGAAAATAGGAATGAGGAGTACACATCACCTCATCTATTCCACACACTGTACTACTGGAGGTTCTAGGGCAACAGGAAGAATAAGAAAGAAAAGCATAAAAAACAAACAAACAAAGGAGACATCTGTAATACTTTCAACAATAAATTTTAAAAAAGAAATAAAAACACAGGCAGCAAAAACTATTTGAGAATTTTATATAGAAAATCCAAAAGAATCTTCAAAGTATTGGAATAAGATTTTTAGATATAAGGGCAACAAAAAAATCAAGTTATCTATATACATTTATAGAAAAGAAAATTTTAAATACTATTTAAAATAGCAAATTTTAATAGAATAAATCTAATGAACAGTATACCAGGCCTCTATGTAGAATGCCATGAAATGTTTTTAAGGGAAATGTAAAAACCCCAAATAATGGAAACACTGTCCATAGACTGGAAAAAACAGTATTGTCAATATGCCCTTTCTCCGTATTCATTTAATTTAATGAAGTTCCTATCAAACTTCCACAGATAATTTGTGGAAATTGATGAACCAATTCTTAAATATATATGGAAAATTAAAGGGCCCAAAATAGCCAAGACATCCACGAAGATGAACAAAGTAAGAATTAATCAACTCATATTAATTCTTACTATAAGCTATTGTACTTAAGGCATTGTGACAGGCAAACAGATAAACAGAACAGAATTTAAAAATGTGGAAACAGCCCTGGCCAATTGACCAGTGGTTAGAGAATTGGTCCATGGACCAAAGGATCACAAGTTCGATTCCCTGTCCAGGGCACATACCGGGGTTGTGGGCTCCATCCCCCACAGGCTCCAATCTGGGCAGTAGGCCAGTCCTCTCACATCTGCTTCCTTCTCCCTCTTCTCCCTTCCCTCCTCTCTCTAAAAACATCAATGGAAAAATTATCCTCGGGTGAGGATTAAAAAAAAAAAGGAAACAAACTTATGTGTATATAGAACCTTGATTTATGACAAAGTTGACACTAGGGCAATGAGGAAATGCTGGTCTTCTCCTCCTTGCCTCTCCAAATGTTAATGTAATATGGATTGTTAGAAATGTTGGCTGGATATACTTAATTGAAAAATAGATTTGTTATCTCTTCTATGGATATGTCAACAGTTAGTCCAGGGGTGGGCAAACTTTTTGACTCGAGGGCCACAATGGGTTCTTAAACTGGACCGGAGGGCCGGAACAAAAGCATGGATGGAGTGTTTGTGTGAACTAATATAAATTCAAAGTAAACATCATTACATAAAAGGGTACGGTCTTTTTTTTCAATAGTTTTATTCATTTCAAACGGGCCGGATCTGGCCTGTGGGCCGTAGTTTGCCCACCGCTGATAGTCTTTGCTATTTTATAAAATCTTTGGTTGTTTCATTAGCCTGGCTTTTTCTCCCAATTTTTGATTAGTGGTATTATTATGGGGAAGAAAAATGGTGTAAGAATGTGTGACACATGTTTAATATTTATCTATCTTACTATATATTTATCTAACTATAGATGCACATAAATATGTTTAGGTAAAGATAGTGATGGTGGATAGGTGGTTCAAGGTAAGGACAAATGTCTTGAGTGCATATAGTGTGGTGAGAAGGGAAACTGGCAGATAATTGAAAATTCTATTACACTAGAAAAATTGTTCTACTAGTCACATAATCATTCCATAAATATTTATTGAATTCCTTAAATTTACAAGACATTGTTCTAGGTACTGGCAATATAATAATGCATAAATAAGACATGATCCCTGCTCTCATGGAGCGTACATTCTAACGTGAGGAACTACACAGTTACTTCATTGTTGTGATGAATATGAGGACGTCTATGTGCTATTGAAGCATATAACATACATACAAAATGGAAGCATATAAGTTAGGGTATCAAAGGGGAAGGATGCTTGAGTTGGTTTTTAAATAAAAGGACTTAATTGATGATGATGGGGAATGGGAGGGGCATAATTCCAGGGTATTACATGAAGCAACTGAAAAGATCGGCGTAACTGGTACATAGTGAGCAACAAGGACAGTCGCCTTGGATAGAACTGGTGTAGTAGGGAGGGACAAAAAGCACCCAAGGACTTGTCTATTGGGTTAATAATTTTGTTTTTTATCCTAATATTGGCAGGATGCCATTAAAGAAAGGATCTTAAGCAACCACTCCAATGCAGAAAGCACGTTGGTATTGCAGAAAGAGTTTTGGTCAGGCAATCAGACCTAGAGCAAGGATTATAGGCCTTTGAGGAAATTATGAGCCTCCTGGAATGACTTCCTCCTGCCTAAGCTGTGAATTTGTACTAGATGAGCACTAAGGTTTCCTTCAGCTCAAATTCTATATTTCTGTATATTCAAAGCCAAAACGTCAGCTAAAAAGAACTTAAACATATACATTCATGCATATACCAAGGGCACAGACAATAGTGTGATGAAGGCCTGGAGTGGGGCAGGGGCTGGGTAGAGGAGGGCAAAGGGTGGGAAAATGGGGGACATCTGTAATATTGTCAACAATAAATATTAACAATAAATTACAAAAACATACAGTAAATTTTAAAAACATTTTAAAATAAAAAAATTATAGTTGACATACAATATCATATTGGTTTCAGGCATACAACATAGTGATTAAACATTTATACTAGTATAACTTATGAAATGATCACCCCATAAGTCTAGTACCCATCTGACACACAGGTCATGTTTTGGTGAACTCTTCCCATGTGTAGAAAGAATAACGTTTAGATCCAATTGAGAATCATAATTTAATCTACCCAAAGGGATAGGGCTGAAGTTTCATTATCTCAAAGAAGGCTGAGCAGTCTTTAAGAAGGGAAGTGGGGACGAAGATGGTAGTGACCAGATGGCTTATAAGGACAAAGGCAGCAGGTAGATGCAGGCAGATGGGTGAAATTGACCTTAGTAGGATCATTTAACTTAAAGGCAGCTCGTGGCAGTCAAAGGAAGTTTAAGAGCGGGAAGGGATTATCAGCAATCCCCTTCCTCACCATTTTGGGGCGTACAATTGGCATTTCCTCAAGTTTGTGTCTTGCTTAATGTTTTGCAAAAACAGTATCGAGCACCCCATTCCTTGAGATTTGCTCAAATAAAACTATAAAAACCCTGGAGCCCAGGGGAAGACGCCTTTACAATCTGAAGGACCACAGTGTTGGCTGGTGTGGGTTTTGAGGGAGGAGTAATTGGAATGAACTGTAATTCCCAAGTGTTAAAGCTAAAGAGAATCTCGGCGATCGCCTTCAACGCACACTCTTCATTTTACATCTAGGACAACGGACACCTTAGAGACGAGTGATTTCCCACGCGGAGGCGCCTGCCCACGGTCTGAGGGTCTCTCCACCACCCGCGGCGGCCCTGGCCAGTCCCGCCCCG